ACTCAGTAGCTTTAATGATATACGAACACGGATTACGTCAACCTCCAATTTCCGTTTATCAATAAGAAGCGAAGCCGAGGTGGACTGTAATGGTTCTTAGTGCATCATCTAGTTCATTATATAATCGAATAACGATAAATAACACGGCCGTCAGGAAACGAAATCTATGAAGAGGATGATATTTCCCTTAGAAACGAACAGTTGTTGATGTATCTGATCGACTGAACTTCAGCCGGCTCCAATCAGATCGAGTTTTGTTTTCTGTTTTTCCTCCCTGTTCTCCCAGTTGTCATTGGTCGTTGGTGTTTGAACAAAGCCCATATGATGCACCATTGTCTACAATGAAATTTATCGATCGGAGCTTGTCTGAGTATCTTACATCGCTTGCAAGACGATAGAATAACAACGCTGACAACATATTTCCAACTTGTTGTCGATTTATCTTGTGTTTCTATATTTTAAACCACAATTTTGTCACCCTTTTCGGAAAATAAGTAAAGTGGAAGTATGCGAATTAATACTGATGTTTCTCTCTTTTACATAGCACCTATAATTGAGTGTTCACTGGGACCATAGAGATTTTTATACTTCCTTTAATCCATTTCCTGCTGATATTCGAATTGTTTTTCACTCTCGTCACTCCAGATTTGTAAATTTTACTTTCCATAACCAGTTGACTATTTTTCAATTTTTCTGTTCCAATATTCATTTTATTTATCTCCCAGGATGCCCGTCCCACTTCGCCGATAGATGATCAATTCACAGATGAGACTGATCAAGCACAAAAAGAAGAGTTACGTGGAATTAAATTGAACGAAAATACTGATGACCAATCGGAGGAAGTGGAATCAGCCAAAGTTAGTTCTTCATCCCACAGCGACAAACTCGAAACGCCAGATGACGAAACTCCAGAGGCTATCGTCCAAAGTGTTCTGAGCGAACTGATTAACCGTGTTGTACCAATGCAAAATAATACAGAGCTCACCGAGTCATCCCAGTCGTCTGAGGCCGCACCGGAGCCAGTTTGTGAACCCACTTCCCCGGAATTCGATTCGAACAGTCTTCATTCGTCCAACGACCCGAAACCTGAGGATCCCTCCGGAAGTCTCAATAACTCCTCCGCCGATACCAACGTAGCACCTCCCGAAGCGGTTACATTAGCACACGTAACCCAAAAGGATGCGTTCCTCGTGTTTCGAAGTCTTTGCCGTCTGGCTACTAAAGATTTTGGTGGCTCCCGAGCTGCGGACATCAAGTCCAATTCGGTTCGATCCAAAACCTTGTCATTGCAACTTCTGCTAAGTGTGTTTCAGCAACCGGGGCCTTTATTCTTATCGAGCGAGATATTCATCACAGCTATCAAACAATATTTGTGCGTTGCACTGATAAAAAATGGTGTATCCCCACATCCGGAAATTTGCGAGTTGTCTGTGACTATTTTTCTGGCCTTATTGACTCATTTCAAACCTCATCTAAAACGCCACATTGAGGTGTTTTTTAAAGATGTCTTTCTGGAAATTCTCGAATCACCGAAGTCTTCTTTCGAGCATAAATGGGTTGTAATCGAAGCTGTGCGTCGAATTTGCGCGGATGCGCAGTGCGTTGTGGACATCTACTTGAATTATGATTGTGACATGAATATGGCGAATATCTTCGAACGCTTGACAACCGATCTAGCCAAGATAGCCCAAGGCCGTTATGTGGGCGAACATGGATGCACGGTCGCACAGCGTCTGGCCATACGCACCAGTGGTCTTGAGTGTCTGGTACTGATTTTGCGTTGTATGGTTGACTGGTCCCATGAACTCTACGTGAGCCCAGAGTCCCAGTCCTTCCTCGGCACAGAACCCTCTTTATCCACAGAAAACAACGAGGTTACTTCAAATGGACCTATAGGTGTCAGTCACACACACGGTGAGTTTCTTGTGTTCTCTGCTTTATTACTCCAAACTTTGTTGATGTCAGTGTATTAATGGCCATCTTCTAGGCTCAAATAATCCTGTCGAAAGATAAACTTACGACTAGTTTTAAAATTTGTGATATTATAATATTACAAATTTTAAAACTAGTCGTAATTTTAACTTTCTACAAAAAAATCAACGTTGATTGGTGTACGGAAGTGTGAAAGTGAAGCTGGTGGAAAACCAGTCAGATTTGGATGCGCCACGGTTTCTGAGATCGCTTGAAATAAGCACCGGTAAATTCACGTGCTTATCACTTTTCATTTCTCTTTTGTTTCTGTAGCTTCACAAGGGGTATTTACGTTTATTCACTTCATTTATTTTCTTTTGGTATGCAGGATGAAAGCCTGTAAGAACTGAGGCTTAGGTACATGTTGATCCTGACAACAGTTCACACGAAATCTTCAGAAGTAGTAAATAAAACTGAGGCTGATAGAACATCGAATGCACGAAGCAATAAATGAGATAAAAACAGGCGTATACCATGAATGTACATGAATCACGGTAGTACGCGTCAGTGCTCTCTGGCATTCTCGGTGATCATGATTGCTATTATTTTAATTCCTTACTTATTATCCCATTGTTATTTATTCAGGAGTATCACATAATAAAGCAGTGGATGATCCCGGGGATTTCGAGTCGCGCAAAGCCCAAAAGGAAATCTTCGAATCCGGCATTGATCTTTTCAATAAGGGAAAAGCGATTCCAGCGTTTCAGTTACTCGAAGAACACGGTCTCCTGGGCGATACCGTGGAAGCAGTCGCCGAACTGTTGCTCATTGAAGAACGCCTATCAAAAGAACGTGTGGGTGATTTTCTCGGCGAGAACGATCCGTATAATTTACGTGTTATGTACGCCTATGTGGATCAATTTGATTTTGCTGAAAAAGATTTCGTCTCTGCTATGCGGTGAGTCTGTTCGCTTAACCCAATTAAGGGTGATCAGCTCAATGACGTTTGGGGTTTCTATTCCTTGTGCTTCCTCTTTTATTATAGAAAATATTTAAACCCATGATGTCAGTGTTCTACGGCGTGAAATCGTCGTTTTATTAACCTTGACCTGATGGCAAACTATTACGATTAGGTCTATCACTTTGCCTGTCTTCGAACTACACTATCTAGATATAGTGCTCATTCGTCGTTCGATCAGAGTAAAATCGATCTTCGCTTCGATTTTCTCGCATCGAATGATCGATCGGGCAGCTTTGAGTTTCAGTGTCAGTTTTTACACAACCAACCAGCCAACCTTGCACCTTTCCATGCCTGTTTTGGTTACTGTCTTTCTATTACTGGTTTGGTCGAACATTGACGGATTAATGGAAAGAAGTAAAAAGCTGAAAGTTTGGTACTGAGATAAAAAATACCTACTGAAAATAAATCACATGAACACATATCACTCAGATGCGTGAACTCCGTCGTTTAAGACTATCGCTCTTATCGCCTAGTATCCCTAACCTCTGATTCGGTGCTTCACAGGTCTTCCTCTTATCTGGAAACCTAGCACAACTTACTTGATTTGGTTTCATGGTCGGGGTTTTTATTTCTTCATGGTGGAACCACATTCAAATTACCAGTTGCCTCGACCAATATCGCACTCATCCGTCGTCCGGTTCAATACCACACCTAACCTAGTGGTGCCTCATGTGGTTCGCAGCTCCAAGTCCCGAGACTCTGGTTACCGGTTTTGTGCACTGAACATCAGTTCCTCGTAACTCTGGGGGTTACCCCGTCTGCTGTTTATTACACTAAAAACGAAGTATAGCTTCCCTCGGAATACTACCACGATTNTGATCCTCATTGAATTCTCTTTAAAGGTGGTATCTTGGTGAAATCATTCTACTCAAGAACTACTTGAAGGTGGTTGATTAGACAAATCGGTAACCATTTTTCGGAATGAGTAATTGTGATTGTGATTTCATCAAGCGGTCAGCGGTTTGTAAAGAGTAAATGAAGAATCAGCAAAGTTGATTACGCTTTCTGATGAGATAATCGGACAACGCATGTGAGTAAGATATATATATATATATATACATATATATATATATATATATATATATCATGTTCAGTTGTTCGCCGAGTTTGGCAATTGTATTGCAAACGTTTCATCACCAATCGAGGTGATATTCTTAATGCAGTAACTGGGCGAGTGCTTGCGAGTGTCCTCTTCCTTATATAGGTCATTGAGTGATGTGGCGTTGCCTGATTGGCCAAGGTTTGTTCGCCTTGTGCCGATAGGGGATGAGGTGGACGCGAGCAGTCTGACGGGTGGCCGTTAATTGACCAGTCTAGGGGTTACTGTTGTCCTGTCGTGTCACGTGTGACACGACCCATCTTTGCGTTGATTGGTTGCATGGGGGTGTAGACTTGATCGATGTCAATGTGTCGGTTGACCGAGTTTTCCGATGAATGCCAAGCTTCCAGAAATTCTCTTGCTTGCTTGGCGCGCGTCTAATCGACGACTTTGATGTTTTCGAAATCGAAGTTGTGTCCTTGTCGGTCCTCGTGGATTGAGATGAGTAAGAGCTCATCGTGTCTTCTGACGGCCAGTTTGTGTTCGTGCACACGAGTTGCTAGTTTTTTACCTGTTTGACCGATATAGTGCTTGTTGCAGTCCTTGCAGTTGATGCAGTTGATCACATTTGTTCGATTTTTGTCTTCGTGTTCCTTCTTGGTTTTCGATAAGATTCTCCTCAGGGTTGTTGGTTTGTGGGCGACTTGAATGTTGTGTGGTTTCAGTATTCTCATGGTCATTTCCGAAATGTTCTCCACATACTA